AATCCTGCAAACCAGACTCCTCCCAGAGTCCCTCCTTAAATACAATCTTGAGAGGACCCTAATTACAACCAGTTGAGTCCAATTATCTTTTGTAACTGCATAGCTGTTTTTTCTGCATTGCCGGGCATCCAGGACTACGTCCCTTGTCTCCTCGTCACTACTCCAAGGCCTGATGTCAGGAGCACACTCCCTTCGGCTCTCACTGCTGCTCTATGCCTCAGGCACCTCCTGGTGGCCAACCAGCCTCTCTGCGCCCTGATCGGAGTTGGAACCCTGTCCAAGGTCCTCCACCTCTTCCAGAGCCGACTCATAAAGCCCCTCACTGTTGGAGTCTGTTTGCAGCTCCAACAGCTCCTGGGCCACAACAGGTACCTATGTACTGTGGGTAGTTTGAGGTTGGATGCCCCTTTAAGAAACTGCCTGACCAAAGGGTGGTGAGTGAGTGTCTGGGCCCTGCTGCACAGAAGCACAGATGAGATGGCCGAGACTTGTCTCCTAATTGTATTGGGACTAACCCTCTGTCCAGGCCCACCTGGAGAAAATGCAGCACTAAGGGAATGGTGGCCCTCACCGGATTCTGTCCCTAGGAACTGCACCATGTGGAAAAGGCTCGCCAGGTTGTGCCATAAATTGTTCCATGGAAGGTCTTCGGGCGGCCTGGATAGTCTCTATTACCCTGGGCGAGAATCGATCCTTCCCCAGGATGATCCACTCAACCGCCAAGTGGTCAACTGGAGCCACAGGGGGTCTGGGTGCTCCAGTGACCCCTGGTTGAAGGAGATACTTTCCTGGGCAATCCTCCAAGCTCTGCCCACCGAGAGTGATTGGAGATCGGCAAACCATGGCCTCCTGGGCCAGTGGGGGGGGGAGCAATCAGCACCACCTCTGCCCCCTCCCAAAGAATTTTTTGAATGACCCTGGGAATCAGGGGCAAGGGTGGATAGACATAAAGAAGTCCCCGGGGCCACGAGCATCCGCCCCCTCTGCCCCGTGTGTTTGGTACTTGGAGTAGAACCTTGGGAGTTGAGTGTTGAGGGGGGATGGCAAATAGATTGACCTCCGGGTGACCAAAGCACCTCCTTGAAGATCACAGGATGCAGTCTCCACTCCAAGTTGTCCACTTCAGCCCGGCTGAGCCAATTGGCTCTGATGTTGTCCATCCCCACTATATGTTCCGCCTTTAAGAATAGGACATTCCTTTCGGCCCACTGCCCCAGTCTTTTGGCCTCCCACATAAGGGCCCTTAATTTGGTCCCCCCCTGCCTATTTAAGTGAACCTTGGTGGCAATGTTGTCTGTAAGGACTAATATGTGCCTGCCCCTGACAGAGCAATAGAATTGTACCAGGTCCAGGTGAACCACCCTGAGCTCCAACCAGTTGATGTTGTGAGTCAGCGCCACCTTGCTCCATTGTCCCTCCATTATCTGAGCTTGTAGATGGGTGCCCCACCTGAACAAGCTGGCGTTTGTAGTTACCATCACCCGATCTGGTGTTCTGAAGACTTCGCCCTTGGTTATCGCTGGGGACGTCCACCAGGTCAGTGAACAGGAGACTTCCACTGGGAGAAGGACTTTGGTCTGGGAACAGCTCATGTGCCTTCACTGGAAAGGCAAAAGGAACCATTGGTGTGGAGGCGAGCCCAAGGGACAATGCCAATGGCAGAGACATGGTTCCCAGCAGTTTGGACAAAGTGGCTAAGGCACCCTACCTCCCGTGACTACCTGAGTAGCTAGCTGTCTTAGAGAGAGCTGTCTCTCTGATGGCAGAGAGAC